TGAATGCATGTTTGCATTATATGGCTACAAGACTTTGGGGGCCAGGGAATGGAATTTAGTGGTTTAAAAGAAAATGACCCCCAAAGTGGGTGTCTCTATTAGGAGATGTGGCTTTGTTGCAGTGGATGTGGCATTGTTGGAGGAAGTGTGTCACTGTGGAGGCAGGCTTTGAGATCTCATACATGCTCAAGCCACACCCAGCATCTCAGATCACTTCTTGTTGCCTTCAAGTCAAGATGTAAGAACCCCTAGCTCCTTCTCCAGCACGTTTGCTTGTATGCTGCCTTGCTTCCTGCCATGATGATAATGGAATAAACCTCTGAAGTATAAGCAAGCCATCCCAATTAAATGTTTTTCCTTGTAAGAATTGCTGTGATCATGGTGTCTCTTCACAGCAATAGAAACCCTAACTAAGTCACTTTCTGGAGATGGCATCCCTCATATTGCATGGCCATCACTCACCTCTGGTTGCTCCTAGTAACTTCCTACCACGAACAACACTGACCAAGTGAACTACAAACAACTCTGGTGAAGTCAATCCAATCCTTCTATCTGAATAGCATGTACCCACTGAAACTCCCTAAGATCTGTGTGTAGAGGACATCAGTGCAATTTTGGTTAGAAGTGGGCTGTGCTAGGAGACTAAACTAATCATCAGTAAAGGAGTCTGGGAAGATGGACTAGTATGTTGTGTTTAGTATGCAAGTGTAAGGGACCTGAGTTTAAATTCTCAGCACACATGTAAAAAGTTTGGGGTGGCTGTAACACCAGTGTTGGGGGGGGTAAAGACTGGAGGCTGCCTGGGACTTGCTGGCTACCAGCATAGTTCCAGCTCAGGGAAAACCCTGCCTCAAGGGAATGAGGAGCAGAGCGATAGAGCAGGGGAGACACCCTCCTGAAGAATTACTAAAACTACAATAAATATAATTATTTTTTAAAGGGCAGAGCTGCACCCCTACCACTCTGCCTTCTGGGCAGGCTGACTAATGCAGAACCTAGCAGTTGAAAATTAAACAGTTCACAGGAAAGAGGAGTTAGTGAGGATTTCTCCCATTTCTACAAAGTCAGGTCTCTATATTTGGTATAAACATTTTCGGGGAGATTCATGAAAACATTTGTATTGCTATATATTATCACAGAGCTATGGATAAGTTTGCAAAGACTTTCCTATTTGATTAAAATAAACACATAGTTAGAACCTCTAAAATTCTGGAAGGAAATGTAAGATAAAATATTCATTTAATTAATTAGAAAGTTATGTGTAAACATGTGTTGTCTCTGTGTGGGTATGTGCACGCGTGCAGGCACCCTCAGAATCCAGAAAGGGTGCTGGATCCCCTGCAGCTGGAGTCCCAGAAGTGGTGAACCACCTGATACAAGTACAGGAAACTGAAAATGATAAAATATTTTAAAATGGAAATGCATTAGGAGGAATGTATAAACATTCCAACTCAATCTTTCAACGATCCAAGTCTTTCTGTAAAGAAACCATCTCTGTGCATTGCTTCACTGTAAATCCTGAGACAGCTGTGACACCAGGAAATGGAGACATTCCCATAGTATCCAGAAACTACAAGTCCGCACAATGTAGCTGTGACACTGCCTAACTCCTGGTTGGGCAAGAGGTCCTGACTCCAAAGGAGAAAGGAGAATGACAATAAGGCAAGACATCCAATATCCTCTTCTGGCCTCTGGACATGGGCACCCTGCCTCCTCCCCAGCCCAGAGTTAGTAAAATAACTCCTTAGTCTGGCTATTTCTCTATATCTGAAAAGACAGTGAACAGGCACATGCAATCGCATATGTATAACTGAATCCACAAACTTGAAATGTTTTTCTTGTTTCATTTGGTTAAAAAGCTCTTTAGTTGAAAGAGGTGCTATTCAGGATCACTGAGCAGTGAATTAACAAAATGTGATGAATTGGACCTCATGAAGAATTTATGAGTTCTCACTTAATGCTAATTTTTTAAAGGGCCTACGTTAAGTGATTTTAAGACCCTGGCTCAGACTGGTGAGTACAAAGATTAAAGTTCAGAGAAAATTCAATCCCAAACCACACAGTCAGATTATATAAGAGTACATTCATTCATGTTCTTGAAGTGAATGCCTCAAGCCTGCAATGTTAAAATAAAACTTAAAAGCTATTTTTCTCATACTGCACTTAAACTTTAACAGCCCATTGATTCTTAAAGAAGAAAACATTTGTGCTCATTACCAAGAGTGTGCTTTATGCATGCCAGACAAGTAAAGGATGCCTCTATCTCTGTGAAGGATATGACACTCCCTCCCAAGTGTCACCACAAATACCTTGTCACAGTGGGGTTAGCTAGACGAGTGCTGTAAACTTTTATTTGGAATTGATTCTTCATATTGCAAATGAAGAGATGTCCTGAGAAAACCAAGCTGTTTGGAAGCTCTAAAAAACTAATAGCCTCGGGCAGCATGATGGTTCAGTGGGTAAAAGTGTTTGCTGTGCAAGCCTAAGGACCCAAGTTCAACCCTGAACCCATGTAAGAGGGGCAGACGTGGAGGTACACATCTGTAATTCCAGTGCTCCTATGGAGAGATGGAAGGCAGAGATAGCAGGCTCTCTCAAAAGCCTGAGGACTGGCTAGCTTCAAATACTCAGCGGGGCAGGAAAAAACAAAGATGCCACCTCACAAAGATAAAGCTTTCTAAAAGTTGTCTTCTGACCACTGCACCAGGGTCCATGCACCCAAATTCATGGATGTGTGCACTCTCTCTTGTGTGCTTACTCTTGCATGGCCCCTCTCCCTCCCTCACCATAATAAATGCTTTTTAAAAACTAATAATTGGTTGAAATAGTTAACAGGCAAAAGTTTCTGAAAAGGAGAGAAGACATTCTAGTAACTGAATAGAGAAGTACAAAATCACTCAGGTTAAATTCCAACACAGCCGAGCCTGATGTGATGACACACTCCTTTAGCCCCAGCACTTGGAAGGCAGATGCAGGTGGATCTCTGTGAGTTTGAGACCAAGCCTGGTCTATGGAGTGAGTTCCAGGACAGTCAGGGCTACACAGAAAAACCTGGGGGGGCGCAACAGAGCCAACGTACTAAACACAAAGTTCAGTTCAATAATAGTGACATGGTTACTCACTCACTTCTGTAATACTCCATTTAAAGACATTTGATTGTAAAGGAGTAATTCAGAGCCTTAATGTTTTAAATAAACATAAACCTTTAAGTTAAAGCATTTTTTTGGAATTTTAGAGGTGTGCAAACTTAAAACAGTAGTACAAATTATCTAGTAGGAAGAAGAATGAGAAGAGAGCTAAGGAATAAGGGGTGAAATAATGCTAACAGGTGTCTGTGGAGGCTTAAGACAACAGGAATTCATTCCTGAGTTCTGGAGGAACTTATTGGAAAGTTCAAGATAAAGGTACTAGAAGACTTGGTGTCTGATGTGGACACACTATCTAATTACAGACACTGGCTTGCTGTATCGTCCTGTGATGGGAGGGATATGGCTTTACAAGGGGACTAGACAAACTTACAAGAGCTCTGCCCTTGTGATCGTATGACCTGCCATGGGTCTCACCTTCTAAGCCAGAACAGTTTCAGTACTGTACAGAATTCCTAAGGGACATGAACAGTCTAAGACCCAAATACCAAAAAGGGTGAATAAAGGGAATGAGGTAAATATACTCACAAAACATAGACATATATGCAATCATCAATGGATAAATATTTGTGTGTCAACCTGACACAAGCTAGAGTCATCAGAGGAAGGAGCCTCAGTTGAGGAAATGCCTCAATGAGATCCAGCTGTAAGGCATTTTCTCATTTAGTGATCATTGAGGGAGGGCCCAGCCCACAGTGGGTGGTACCATCCCTAGACTGCTGGTCCTGGATTCTATAAATAGGTGGGCTAAGCACACCATGGGAAGCCTTCCTTCATGACCTCTGTATCAGTTCCTGACTCTGGCATCCTGCCCTGTTTGAGCTTCTGTCCTGACTTTCTTCATCTTGCTTTTTTGGTCATGGTGTTTCATCAAAGCAAGGTAAGATACCTTTAATTTCACTTAGGTGATTTGGTACAATGAGAAGGAACTACAATGCTGGCACTCATTACATATTGATAACCTCATAATAGGGCTAGGGGTGGGCTTCCTCTTTGTGGAGCTCAAGGATAGAATGCTTGCCTGGCATGTATAGGGTTGAACCCCAGGACTACACAGATAAAGAATGTTCCTTCTGTAATCATAAATCTTGTTTGAATAACATATGAAATGCTAGTTATTTTACATTCTAAAAAGAAACCTCGATGTTTCTTTAAAAGGAAACAATATCAAAAAACTTGGTAATGCTGTTAATCATACCCACTATGCATAGAGAAGGCTCAGGGTCAAAAGCCTCCTCCTCCAAATATAAGTAAACACTGGAATACTATGCAATCATTAAGACCATTCTCTTTTAAGATATTCACAGTAGCCTGTCGGTGGTGACACATACCTTTAATCCCAGCCTTTAGAAGGCAGAGGCAATTGGATCTCTTGAGTTTGAGGCCAACCTGGTCTATAGAGAGTTTTCTGGGACAGTCAGGGCTACACACAGAAACCCGGTCTCAAAAAATAAAAGTTCATCCTATCCTAAAATTTACTATGTGAAATTCTACACGTTTTGCTTAAATTGGGATTTATTTCATTCTCCAGAGAAGAAATCACCCCATACTTTGACATAATTAAATGGTCTACAGCTGGTTACTGACAATCACATATCTTAATTCATATAGCCAACATTTTCCACATATTTATTACAGGTGTAATGTATTCAAAAATATACATGTTTGTGGGGGGTTAGTGGGTGGGTATTTTGAGACAGGGTCTCATTTATTCCAGGATGGCCTCAAACTTGCTATATAGTTGTAGATGACCATGAATGATCTTCCTGCCTCCATCGCCTCTTGAGTGCCAGGATTATAGGCATAGATGGTGCTGGGCCTATATATTTTTAAGAAATGAATGACAAGAACCACTGCAGATAGAAACAGCTTTATTTTTTTCATTTTGGGCTTTTTTAGAAGAGCAAAAGTATCGAATGCAATCATACTTATTTTGTCCTATATCAGTGGTTTCCTTAGGAAAGAAACACACATTTGAATAACTTATAATTCAAACACATCAAGTTCCCACTTCATTCCCTTCTTTCCTTTTCAGTCATCCACAATAGAATCATTTTGGGTAAGTGTTCATATTCTCTCTCACCTTTACTCATCTGGAAATAATACAATATTTATAAACCAAACGATTTGCTGTTCAGAAAGCTGGAAAGGTTCTTTTACATAATAATTTTGATATGCTAAGAAACCACACAAAACTGGCATTTGCAAATGGATAAAAATAGGATACACTGCTTGAAAGAAAACACAAACAATAATTTCTTTTTATCTAAATAATTCAATTGAGTGAATATATCCATCTGATAATATAGCCTCTATCTTAGAATATAAAAAGTGCTCAGATTATCTGTAATAAAAATAACGAAAGTCTCAGAGAACTGAAAATAATTTAAATAAAGAAGGTACACTGAGAATCAAAATGATGGCTGTGCTGTCAGGCATGGAGGGAGATGTGAATCTACTTGAACTCAGAAGGGGACTAAAGCAAGGCAATGGGACATGCATAGCTTCCTGCCTGGAGAAGGCAGAAACAGTCTCTGAAAAGCTCCATGTGTCTTTATTTAGATGAAAGCCACTGACATGGAATCAGGTATCTCAGACTTGCAAAATGCAAAGTTGGAATACTTGACTGCCCTGTGCTAGCTGCGGTATACACTCAACTCAAGAGTTCAACACATAATCACGCATTTTTTTCAAAGCTCACAAATGGAGGCCTGAGGACAACACTGGATGTCATCCTCAGGAATGCAACCCACTCCTTTTAGACAGGGTCTCTCAGTGGTTAGGCTGCTGGCCAGTGGCCCCCAGGGATGCTCCTCTGACTCCCCAGTGCTGGGATTTCAAGGACATACACATTACCAGACCCAGCCTTTTTTACGTGGGTGCTAGAGAATTGAACTCAGGTCCTCCAGCTTTGCCAGGCAAACACTGAACTGACTGAGCTATCCCCTCAGCCCCACCCAAGGATACACCTTTGACAACATATAGACCCCTAAGATTTCATACTATTAAAAAAATCTTGGAGAGGAAATGGGGGGGGAGGAGAGAGATGGGGGAGGGAGAGAAGGAGAGAAAGAGGGAAGGAGAGAGAGAGAGAGAGAGAGAGAGAGAGAGAGAGAGAGAGAGAGAGAGAGAGAGAGAGAGAGAGAGAGAGAGAGAGAGAGAGAGAGAGAGACTGGGTGGCTCATCAGTGTAGAAACAGGGGACAATAGACCATTTCTTACCACCTTTCAATACCATGGATATCCCACCCACAAAGAAAAATGGGATACGGTGTGCCTGGCTACCCACTGCCAAAGGCATGTACACTGAGCCCACTCTACTTAATACTGAGACAACCAATCACATTTTCTACAATCTTCAATCTCAGATATATTCCAACTTGCCACTGAGGGCAACTAAACAGCAAGGAGTGCGTGATTTTATTTGGGGCAGACTAGTGATATGTGGGTTTACATACTGCTCCTTCTTTAGCTTGGGAGGATTCAGATAACTTTTTAGCATTTTAGTTGCTTATTATGGGAAATTTTTTCATAAAAAAAGAAATAAAATAATACTATCCTCACTGTATGACAGTTCCAAGCTGGCACTCTTAAGGTCCTCAGGAGACCATTTCATAGGTCACAACCCCAGAATATTGTAGGATCCTGGCAATCAGAAAATGGCTTTCTTGACTCTGTCCCTGGTAGCAGAGAACATGTCATACAGCAGCAGTTCACCCCACCACCACACGTTAAAAAGAGTTTATATGAGCTGGGCGCATACCTTTAATCGGGAGGCAGAGGCAGGCGGATCTCTGTGAGTTCGAGGCCAGGCTGGACCGATAGCCTCCAAAACCTGTCTCGTAAAAACCAAAAAAAAAAAAAAAAAAAAAAAAAAAAAAGAGTTTACATGGATGCTGTAACTTTTCAAATCTTTTAATGTCCTTTTATTCTAACTAGCTGAAAATTACTATTAAATGTTTTCTTGAAGTTCAGTGTATTTGGGGTAAAAGTTTAAAATGAGTATTGGGATTCAAAGTACAAAGTGATACAATATGGCTTTAAGAATATCAATCAATAGAAGAAAGAAAAATGGGGCTGAAAAACTAGGTAGCCAAACAGGTAGCAGCAGAAGGGGCCAGCCGAGAATAAGTATAAATGAAGCTAATATGTTCATCCAGCTTCCAACACACTTAAGGGGAGCCTCGCCTCGCCATGTCTGATGTGCCTCTTAAGGAGCTGGCTCCCTGTCACCCTGACAGCAGGCATTTGTTGAACAGGCAGAAGCCTGTTCTAGCAGAACAAGAGTGAAAGAGTGGCTAGCCTCTAGGTTGAGGGACCAATGGCAGCACCTATTCTCTGACACAGAATCAGAAAAGGAATGCAGAGACTATAGGCCCCACCAGCTCCACTATGGCTTGTGCACAGCTACAGGACTAGTTAAGTACTAACCACTTCTATCACTAACCACAGAGAAGTGCCCTGAGTTCCAGGGAATGTAAAGTAGGTACCTATTTTCTTTGGATAAGCTTCAGATCAAGCAGGAGTTACTATGTTTCTTTAAAATGTTGAGTCTTAGATTTGTAGAAACAGCACAAACACCACTAAGGTCATGGCATATCTTATCATCCTCTGGGGGCACAAAGGAACACTACTAGCAACAGGGAAACCAATTATGCCAAGACAACAGATATAAGCAGGACCATCCGGGACATATCTAATGTGAACACCTGATCTTTGTACTTCCTTTTCAGGTTGTTTATTAATGACACACTGTAACACTGGCAACTTCGATATCAAACAGAGTTTTGGTTTGTGGGGAAGACATATTTCCTGGTGCTAGAACATGCTCTTCTTCACCTTTGACCCCACCTAAATTTCCCAGCATGAGCTGACATCTTGCATGGGTCTAAGTCAATGGTTCTCAACCTTCCTAATTCTGCAACCCTTTAATACAGTTCTTCATGTTGTGGTGACCCTCAACTATAAAATTATTTTGTTGCTACTTCATAACTGTAATTTTGCTACTGTTAAGAATCATAATATAAATATCTGACATACAGTCCCTGTAGTGGTCACAACCTACAGGTTGAAAACCACTGGTCTAAGCAACCATCTCTGTGTTAGAATTTCACCAAGACAAAAATAGTAATGTGAGGAAATTACTTATATTCACTTCTTTACTTTCCTGCCCAAAACATTTACTGGAGCCATTTAGCATACCTTGCTCCAGAAGCAAACTCCAAAAGGACAAGTCCCAATTAAGGGGCTAGATCATAGTGTATTTTAAAATCTTTATATTAACCACAAGATTCTCATAAATACAATTCCACAAAATATTTTTTAAAAGCTCTAAGAATGTACTTAATGAGTGGCTGCAGGAGCCAATATGGCAGGACTGTGACAGGAGTGCCCAGGCCGGTGCTGGGCTGCGGTGCAGGCCTTCAGTTTCTGAACAGCAGAATCCTCTCGGAGCACTTCTGCCCCACAAGGTTTGCATACTCCAGCACGGCGACCTCCTCCCTTGGGTCTTCTTGGTGGTTCTTCTTATAAACACCGTAAGGCAGGGCAGATCGCCTATAAAGTACCCGTACTCTGTCAGGGTCCTTACTGCGCCCTTCATCCACTGCAAAGAAACAAATACAGATCAAAGACATGCACAACCAAAGTGTGTAAATCTGAAACGTGACAGCCTAGCAGGTCCTCTGTGTGTGCTAAACAGGAAGTTCTGTAGTGAAAGGCAGTAAACAATTCCTAGTGTGCTAGCCAAAACAAAAATCACATTCAACTGAATACCAGTGGTCACACTATACCTTTCTGATTTTTTTGAAGTGCAGTGGCATCTACAATATTCCAGAATCTTCTAAGAATCCGTATTAAATCTCCAGTGCCTCTCTAGCTAACATGCTTTGGCTCTGCCTGGAAACTTATAGTCAACAGAGCAGCATTAGGAGGCCTGGCTTTGCACTCCTGTTCTTTATGGAGGACAGAGGGGCAGATTCTCACAACTTCCATAGAAGATACAGCACATGGTGCTGTGCCTGCTGCTATTGGGCTTTCTTGGTTTCCATATACAAGAGCTCATGGCTTGTATCAAGGCATGCAATCACCCAGAACAATTCCTGTGTCTGTACCTTCCATGAAGCTGGGTGTTGCCTCACGACTCAGTTCTGGTCAGCACAAGCAGTGCTTTATGGGACTGTCAGGGCCTTCCAGAGGGAACAAATTCAACTTCAGGCTATATATAGCCTGTGCGTGGACCAACATGAGGGCAAGAGTCTAACTTCAGCCTTGGAGCTAGAAGGTAGGAGCTTGCCTTTGGTTTAGTGAAAACAAAAGACTTGAAGTGAACAGCCTCGGACTTCATGGAACAAGCTGACATGCCGGCCCCAGGCTGTCTATGTCTAGATATTTACAAAAAATTAATGTTTAGCTGACATTACTCTAGATCCCTATTACTGGAACCACTGCTAGTTCTAATCCAGAGAGAAGTGCTACACTGTATCCATTAACATGTACATTTAAACCACGGAACCATGCTACCTATAGCTTAAGTTCACATTGGAATCACCAGAGACTTTTAGAAGTCTCCAAACATCTTGGAATCCTTCTGCAGAAATCCCAAGTGAAAACTTGTCTGAATAAACCTTGAGCACCAGGATTTTAATTTTTAAACATTTAAGTCCTATGAGCAGGGCAACAACCACAGAAATGCTTTATGCATGTGTGCTCACAGCTGTATCTGGACGTAACACACCCTAATCGCATACCCATGAGAAATTTGTCAAAGGCACAATTCTGCAGCAGGTACAGGGGAGAAAGAAGGCAAAGAACAGTACCTTTCTTTTAGCTGAGAGCCCAATGCAGGTAGTGAGCCCCTGACTCAAAACACTTGGCACCAGCTGAGTGTGGTGGATACACCTGTTATCCTGGCACTTGGGAGTCAGAGGCAGGAAGATTATAAGCTCAAGGCCACCCTGGCTACATAAGAGTTCTAAAAGCACAACCCACCAAAGAAAATGTACACAAAGGCCTCAGATAGTAAATTCTGGAATATCTGCATACTTGTAAAGAGACCTGGGAAAGGAACTAACAAACCAAAGCATAACACTCACTATGCTTTCTATGCACAAAATAAGATCCAGAGCATCTTATACAATGTACACATGGCAGTACTCTACCACATAAGGCCAGGGATGGAGTCTGTAACTAAGACACAAACATCTAAAGTTTCTTCTTTCTCAGAAGCTGCTGCTCTTAAAGCAGCATCAAACTCGGGAGAATTCACTACAGATCAATTTCAGGAGAGAAAAGAACAGTATTCCTCAAATTCCAGAAACAGGCAGAGCACCAATGTATTATTGTATCCAAATGCACATGAGAGAGAGGGAGCCCACCCAATCTCAGACTCCAGGCCTGTCTATAGGTCTAGAGTAAAGTATTCACTCTGTCTCTTGGGCTGCATGGCCTGTGGGTTTTTTTTTAAGATTTATTTATGTTTTGCCTGAATGTATGTATGAGTACTACCTGTGTGCCTGGTGCCTACAGAAGCCAGAAGAAGGTGTCGAATCCTCAGGATCTGGAGTTAAGGATGGCTGTGAGCCATCATGTGAGTGCTGAGAATCAAACTGGAGTCTTCTACAAGAGCAACAAGTACTTTTAACCACTGACTCATCTCTTCAGCCCTACACTTATTCTTAGTACATCCATATAATTAACATTAAAACCTATTTAAATCTAAATAACAATAACAAAATCCTATTTAAGATACTTGAAACACTAGACATAACTTATTTACCAAAAGGAGAAGAATGTTATGCTAAATTCTTCAAAAAAATCCTTTTATACTCACCTTGTCACAGCTGTCGAACAGATATGACATTGGTGCTTCCATATAAAACTCTTCAGCCCTAAATTCACCAGGCATCAAGGCCTTTCCATAATGCACCCGAAGGGATTGAGAAACAAGTCATTTGATATGAAAGATGATTGTCACTGCATTTAAGGAAAGCTGCCAGCTTATCAGATATCACAGAAATAAGTCCCAACAAGAACTTCATGGTCAGGTACTACCTGCAGAAAGGAATTCTGCCCTGTCAGAGAAGACCTTATTCTTCTGATTAGAAACAGCTTGGAAGAGTCATTTATCACAGGAGCGGGTATTAATAGATTTTGGCATCATTTCCTCTTCAATAGTAATACAACCAGCCACCTGGAATCCAGAAGCTTGTGGGGTTTTTGTTTTATTTTCTGTTTTGGTGGTGCTGAGGACTGAACCCAGGGTTTTGTACATGGTAAGCAAGGGCTGTACCAGCCTGTTATGGTTACTTAGCATTACAAATAACATGGTACTGATTCTATCACTGGCTCACCAGATTAGGCTGAGGCATAATAGGAATATTTATCAATATATTAATTTACTTAAATGCCCCACTATTATGCTCTGACTATTTAAAAGGTACTGTAACAAGTGGTGCACATGACCATATCTATCAGACATCTGCCTACCTCTCTTCACTCCTTCTGGCTTCACTAGGTCATTGTTCACCACACCTAAAACACCAGCTTCTCACATTTCCCAACCTCAAGTCCCAGCTAAGGTAACACAACTCAGCAGTCACATCAATTTAAACTTAACTGGTAATTCTCTTGAATGCAATTTTATTTACTTAACTAAGAAAGCATACTAACAACTGAACCAATGATAAATTTTAGCTTTCTATTTTTAAAGTACCCTATCTTTTCCTTTAAAAAATCTTAAATTGGGCTCAGCTATTAAAAGTACTTGCTGCTCTTGCAGAAGATCAGGGCTTGGTTCCCAGAATGTGCACAGGAGTTCAAACCATCTGTAGCTCCAGTTCTCTTCACAAGCATCTACACACAGTGTGCATGCATACACATACACATATACATGAACAAATCATTTAAAATCTGAATTACAATTCACACTTAGAATATAAACTGAATTCTGCCCAACCAAAGAAGCTAAGGATAATATAAAACCCCCAGCATTTAGAAAGAACACAGATCAATTAAGATATATAACAACAGACATAAAGGAAAGATGGAATTGTACATTCTTTTTAAAAACTCACTATTTAAAAACCAGAATTATCGGGGCTGGAGAGATGGCTCAGAGGTTAAGAGCACTGACTGCTCTTCCAGGGGTCCTGAGTTCAATTCCCAGCAACCACATGGTGGCTCACAACCATCTACAATTCAATCTGGTGCCCTCTTCTGGCATGTAGGCAGAACACTGTATATGTAATAAATAAATAAATCTTAAAAAAAAAACAGAATTATCAAGCTACTCAGCAATTCATTTTGATGAATTAATGAATAACCCGTAGTTGTCACACTTTTTAAAACAGTAAAAGTGACCTCTGTTGTAAAACTCAGATAGAAACAAAATGGAAATACCAGTCCACATATATAATCCTTGTGCCTATATTTTCTCCCTTCCCTTCTCACTCCAATACTAGTTTCCAGTGTCTGATCCATCAAGTGCACTTAAATAGTCAAATATGGAGCCTTGGATCATATTCCTACCATGCTTTAAGGCAGAAAATGCAATCAAATCACCCCAGAAGTGAGCATAGTGCATGAATCTCGGAGATCCCTGTCCATCATCACAGATACAGACAGTCATTCTGTTCCTGGGCTGCATGGCCTGTGGCTTATCCTCAAGAAAGGGACATTTACTCTTAGTACATCCCACACAATTAAGGTGAAACAAAAAAACCTGTAAGATACTTAAAACATACAAATTATGATTTAGTTAAAGGGAGGAAAATGTAGCTCAAATTCTTACAAACCCCTTTAGAATCATCTTATAAACATAACATCAGTGCTCACAGACAACTATACAATGCTAAACCAGCAGGCATAAAGGCATTTCCTTGACAGGACTTGAAGAGACCCAGGAACAAGCTATTATGAGATGAAGATGGTTGTCATGGCAGCAAAAGAAAGCTGAAAGCTTACTAAGATACAAGAGCTTCTACTTCTCCTTTCCCAAAGCTGTATCACAGCTTAATTTCAGAAAATAAAAACACAAGGAGTCTTGCAAGTTCTTGGAGATAAGCATTTGATCACTAATGACTCAAAAGTGCTGCCAGCTCCATGATATTTTAATCAAGTAAAATTCTTCAGGGGGGTTGCTTGCTCACTGACGCCTCACAACTGTTCACGCACAGGAGCTGAACTGCTTAACAAGTGTTTTCAAAGCAAGAGAAGCTAGAGATCAAAGCTGTACTTCTCAGGGGTATTCAACTTATTTGTTGTTCTCAGAAACTTAAGAATTTTCTAGGCTTTTCTTTTATTTCTTTGTTTTTTGTTTTTTGTTTTTGTTTTTGTTTTTTTTTTTTTTTGAGACAGGGTTTCTCTGTGTAGCCCTAGCTGTCCTGGAATTCTCTCTGTAGACCAGGCTAGCCTTGAATTCACGGAGATCCACCTGCCTCTGCCTCCTGAGTGCTGGGATTAAAGGTGTGTGCAGCCACCAACACGTGGTTTTCTTTCTTTTTTTTTTCCCTACGTTTTTCTAAAAATGATTCAAGAGTCTATTTGCATATCTTTATAATTTTTTGTTACAGCAATATTACATAAAAACAAAAACCGAACCTACAA